TTTCATCATTCCGATTTTTCAAAGACAAGGAAGGATTCACTTCTTCCAAATCATCTGCCCAAACATCTTTTTCACCATCATCACTATCCTCTTCATCACTTTCATTATTTCTAATTACTTTATCCAATACTCGTTGTTGTAATTTTTTCTTTTTTTTTTTCGTTGTTCTTCCTCTTTGGTTTGTTTATCTTTAAATATTCCTTCTGTTCGTTCTGCTTCCAAGTGAAAGGGTTCCATCACTGTGTTATTATTTTCTTCATCAATAAAACGTTCTTCATTTAAATTTCCTTCTTCACCTTCTAATCCACTTCCTGTTTCATTGACTTGTCCGAGAATGGATGTTGTTTGTTCAAAGCCTTTTAATTGTTTGATCATTCGGAGAGATTTAGCCTCGCGAATGGATTGAAGAGTGTGTTTGGATTCCTCATGAGTTTGTATGTTATCGTGATGATTTGTTGAAGAGGAGGAGGAGGAGAATTTTACATGTTTGTTCCTTGGTGGAAAGGTGGAGGAGGAGGAGGAGGAGGATTCATCACAACAACCTCCGTTGCTACTACTACTCGGTTGTTGAAGCTGATCTTCAAATTTTCGTTTCATTTTTTTTAATGAAAAATATATTTCTTTAAATTTAATTGATTAATTTTGAATGAACTCATTGATACTCCTTCAATCTCTCACACATGAATATATATACTTGATTTTAATTAGGATCATTTCGCGTTTGTTCAATTTCAAATTGGCACTCTTAGTCATCCTTTTTCCATTCTTTTTTTTAAAAAAAATGTCTTTATCTGCTTCCGCTTTGACTTCCGAGTCTTCCCCCTTCCTCACATTCATCATCGTCGGAACTCAACAACAACAGCATGAACCACAAACAACATTATGAATCCAATTCCAAATCCTCTTCACACCACAACATCTCAAATACAAAAACAATGGATATTCTGAAAAAAACATTTTCAATTTCCAATATGGATAGAGATTTAAAACACTTTGAATGTAGAGATCCATTTAATTCTTCAAATATTATTAAGGGATATATGATTATTAAACATGGCAAATTTAATGGTTCAATGATTATTGATAATATTAATCATATTGATTTAAATACTCCAAATATAGTATATAATATTCCCAATTTGAATTACTTGTATCCTAAAA